GAGGAAAAGAAGGAAGAGGAGGAGAAAAGAGCTCAAGAAGCGAAGAAGGCCGAGGAGGAAGAGAGAGCACAAGTGAAGATACAGGTGCAAGACATGAAGTCTTTCAGGGTCTCGAACTATGGCCGAGCTTTCCAAGAGTCAACAGAACTTGCGAATAATTTCTCTCTCACCAACCTCGTGACATGTGCATTCGCTGTGGCAAGCAAAGTGGGGGAGATGTGGGTGCGAGACTTGGACAACTTCCTTCATGCTTCGATGACCGATGAATCCTTCACTGCACTTGTATGTGAATGTAAAGCCCATGATCGCCTCAAAGACTACATCGCGGCAAGGAAGGCTCAGTATCCAAATGATGCAGAGTGGGAATTTATGAAACGTGATGTGGAGCAGTATGATGACCTCTTCTCCTTTGTGTGCTACCTGGTTGAGGTAGCCCAAAAGAAAGAAGCTGATGAGAAGAGAGCTCAGGAAAAGAAAGAGAAGGAAGCCAAGAAGGTAGAGGATGAGAAGAAAGCTCAAGAAATGAAGGAGACAAAGAAGAAAGAAGAGGAGAAGAAAGCTCAAGAAGCGAAGAAGGCTGAGGATGAGAAAAGAGCTCAGGAAGCCAAGAAGGCGGAGGATGAAAAGAAGGCAAACGAGAAGAAAGCTCAGAATGAGAAAAAGGCAGAGGAGAAGAAGTTCCCAGAACCAAAAAAGAACGATGCCTCTCAAACTGAAGCATCAAAGCTTGTGGAACAAGCGCAGAAGTTGATGGCACAGGCAAATGAACTCAAGAAGGCAAGCCAGCCTGCGAATGATGCAGCCAAAGACCCAAGGGAGACCAGTGAGAAACCCGAAGAGCAATCCACGGAGGATGCTGAAGCCCTCGCCCGTCGTAAGAAGGCGGCACACGCAACCTACATGAGGTATTTCAGGAGCATTCGACGTCAGAAGCCAAGATTTTCTTCCACCAATATTATATTGTTCAAACTCACTTTCGTTTGACTCACCTAGACCCTGATACACCACCTGAGCTACGTCGGATGGGCAAGGAGGCCCATGGCAGTCGTTGCCTTAGCTAGTTAAGAATCGTGATGCCCAGTCGATAGTCTGATTTGCGTGCATGCACTTGTGCCCAGGCAAGGGCCTGAATTCCGCCCTTTACGATGCTTGGGCGGCGTGTGGTGAGGGAAAGTGGGAACGCAGCCAATTTTTGCTGAACATTCGAGACAGACATCAAAGTAAGAAGCGTGGAATCAGGAAGTGGCTATTTGCTCATGAGATGGATTCCCAGTTTACTCCGGCTATTGCAGAGGCCATGCGAGATCGGAAGAAGCTCGATCCAGAGCTGTGGGAGACGGAGACTCGAATTCATCCGGAGTGTCCAAACAAAGAGGCTCGGGTGACATGAAGTTGAAACAGCACAATATTGATTTCTTGTTTGGAGTTATCACCCAAGCTTATTCCCTCCAGGGCTTTCCATTCCAGACCACACCAATTTGCTTGCCAGGAGTATCGGCAATACCTCTGCTTGGTGGAGGATGCAGAGGAGGATGAGCATTGCGAGGAGATTGATAGGTTGTATTCAGCCCTCGACCGGGATGATGGCTCGTCCAGCAGCTCCGATTGCAAGGTCACCACGAGATCGAAAAAAGGCAAGACCCCAAAGGCCATTATTATAATTGAATTGAGTTATTAATATTCGACTTGTTTCACCTCAATTTGGTTTCATTGCAAGCTGAGCCTCGTGAGTGGTTGAAGACCTTCAAATTTCTTGCAAGGGGAACGCGAAGAAGACCAAAAAGAAGGAAAAGAAGACGAAGGAAAAGAAGAATGGAAAGAAAGAAAAAGAACCAAAGGAAACGGAGACAGAGAAGAAAGAGACACCAGAGGAGAAGGCAGCACGAGAGCAGAAAGAGCAGAACGAGAAGCTTAAGAAAGAAGGCAAAAAGGCACACATTTTTCCAGAATCAGAATATTCTATATCTTCCAACCCAGCCCAGTGCATGCACACAAATACACACCATATATTGTTCCAGTTTGT